TTTCATCTCTTTCTAATCATACATAGAGCTAAATATTATGTTATAATCTCAATGAAAAACCTTTTATTTATTATATATATATATTTAACAACTGTATTTAATGTTGGAAATATCCTAAGTCATTTATGATAAGAGTAAATTGGCTCAGTAGATGCCATATTTGTCAGACGTTTCGTTAACATTTTATATATTCACAATTAGGTTTGTATATTTGTAACTGCTGCGCTGTCGTATATCAATCGTTATTTTGAATTACATTTATTATTATTAAATATCTTTATGGACCATTTTTAATTACTTTAAAAAAATGTTTTTAAAACGTAATAAAAATTTTCATAAACATAAAAATGAATCAAAGCTAATGAGTAGTTTTATTTTTCTATTATTTTATTATTTAAATATTTTGTTATTATTAAATATAGAATGATTTCTAATTAATTTTAATATAATTTATATTTTCTGAATCCTTTTTTCTTTTGTTTTAATTTACTTTTTAGGCTCTAAACCGAAGAGATAATTGGATGTTTTAGAAAAAAAAATTGATGTTTTTTTACTAAATTTTAAGTATTTTATTACAAATTTTTACACTTTTTAATACTTTATATAGTATTTAAAATAGTTTTTTTTTACTTTTTAAACATAATTAAATATTGTAATTATGAATATAAAGGTAGCAACTTCAGGTGATTATCAGCTACTCGTACCCCCTTTTTTTTAATAGATTTTAACCAAATTATGCTCACTTTTATGTTTCTACAAATACATATGTACATATATAACCTATTTATTAAAAATATATAATAGTTTAGATGTAAAAAAACTGTTTAATAAGGTCCAAACCCTCCCCAAAAATCAATGTTTCATCTCCTTCCAACCATATACTATACTGTACATTCCTTAAATTTTAAGTAATAAAATTCATAATTTATGTTAATAAATAAACGTTTTGTTTAATAATTTTGCTTAATTTATTATAAAATAATTTATAAATAAGTTAAATCAACTCTAATATGTTCTGTATAACCTATAAACTATAGCCTATATATATAGGCCTATATATTGTAAATATCTTCATTAATACACGAATAAAATAAAAATTTAGTTAAAATTTAGATATTTTGATTATTTAATAAAATTTTAAAGCCATTTAATTTAAGATAAAAGTATTAATTTAACATTTATCATCATTAAATTTAAAGATAAAAATTAATTAATTAATACGACTACAAATTTCATCATCTCAACTCTAAAATAACTAATTAAATTATTAATTTTATAGTAGATTTAAAGTTAATTACGATTCTAATATTAAATAATTAAAAATTTAATTTTAATTATTATTATTTTTATTTTTTTTAAAGTTGAATGATAAAATGTAATCATCAGAATGTGTAAATGAATATGAATATTGATTCTAAGGGGTAATTTAGTTGATATCTATGAAGAAAAATCATATTTTTAGTCTCATTAATGACATTTTTGGATGATTTACAAACTAATAAAAGGTATCAAATAGCTCTCCATAAAGATTATAAATGTTAGAAAATTTTCCTGATAAAAAAAACTTATTAAAAAAATAGTTTAAATCATTATTATATGATTATAATTTCCTATTTAAAATTTAAACTTTTTATCCTTTCTTTTATGTAACTTTTTTCTTTTAATATAATCAATATAAAGTAATTAAAAGTTAATGGCTTGACTATTTAAATGATGATTAAAAATATAAAAAAAANTTGCAAAATTTAATTAAATTAATGCCTAATTGCATTTTGGAAGTCATGAAGCATAATAGCAGTTCTATTTCAAATTAAAACAATTTTCATCAGTTTATGTTATGAACTAATTATTCAAAGATTAAACTTACCTATATTTTTGGAATATCAAAAAATAAGAATTTTGTGTTTAACACTATGTAATTGTGTTATATTGTGTACACAATTATATAATGTTGTATTTTGCTATAAATAAATAATAATAACCATTTGCATTGTTAAAAAATGCTTTAATATTTAAAAAAAAATAAAATAGATTATCTATATTTTTGGGATACACTGTATTTGCTTTGTATTTACTGATTTGAAATAATTACTGAAATTATTTGAATAATCTCACTCAGTAAAAGAATCTATGTATTCTGTTCATTTATGGGTACTGATCTTTTTGAAATATACATTGTTAAAATAAAATTTCTGAAACATTTCAAAAATTTGTGAAAATATCAGATCCCATTCTCACTCCTCAGTCACCCCCATATTATTGTTTTGGCTAGACCAAAACAATAATAATAGAAAATACCTCTTAATACCAATTCGGTGAATGCATTAATACAGTAATATATCTCAACAACAGTTAAACTTTTCCTCGATGATTTAGATCTGCAGTCTAATATTTTCAACTTTAATTGCATTTTATTTAACTGAAAACCTTAAGATTTAGGATGTAATCATTAGACCAATCTCTTCCTTGTTAGAAAAATGAGAACTGAGAACAGGAATAATTGTATACATTGTTTATATAAGATAATTCTTACCCTTATATAATTATTACTATCCTTAGCTCCTACACTGTCTTCCTTATCAAGTGTTATATTCCAATTCTATTCGTATTTTTAGCAAGTAAATTGTAGGTTATATATTATTGTAAAGTCTATATCATTTGATAAGGGTAAGAATAAAAATTTAAAATAGAATAATGATGTAATATGATAATAAGAATTATCTGTATAAGTGTCATGTGCTTAATATTGAAGTGCATATAATTCCATATAATATGCATGCATTCTACATAAATTATGCAAGTATTTAATGTAGGAATAATGTAGATTATGTACTGTACTATACATAAATGTTATATTTCTAGAATTAATTAAGAAAGGATTATAAACACGTTATCTGCATGGAATAAGAGTTTTATTGTCTCCAATTACTATTTATATAAACAATATTATTCGATTTTAAATCGTTATATTTTAAGAATTAAATGTATAATCATAAATTAGTTATTTTACTTTATTATATAGTATTATTAAAATAAAATCAATTCATATAAATTGATCGTATGAATTGCGTGTTTGATATTTATTGATCTAGGCCATGTTGGAATTGAAAAGAGAGAATGGAAAAAAAGTTAATTTGTCGAATAATAATATCGAATATAAATTTAGATTTAATTTAAAAACTCGTCCTACAACTTAGGCCTACAGTAAAAATTATACAGGATAACTTTCTATGAATTAACTTGATTATTAATAAGATAATTAACATATATACTAGAATATTTTATGTATGAAAGTTTCAAATATTGTTTTATTAAAAAGCTGTTCTAGAATTTCAATTTTTTTATTAATTTCCTTACGAAAATTCTTGATAATTCTCTATTATATCCTATAGTTTTAACTAGAATGATAGTAGTTTAATAAGAAATCTAATAATTTTCTTTCCAGAATTATTTGATCTTTATAGATTTAAGAATAAACGTATACAATAGAGAGATTTTTACGATACACACCTCGAGGAGAAGTCTTAGATAAAGATAAGATAGGAGTCTACAGTATTTTCTACATATTAAATAGAGTTGTAACTTAGAACTTGTATATGCGAATTAATTTCACTTGTAAAAATATAAAATGTATAAAAATCTCTTTCTAAAATCCAATAAAATCTCTTCTTTATGGATATAGGCTATGGATATCTTTCAGATATCCATAGCCTATATCCATAAAGAAAAAATACTGTAAATAGGCCTCATAATATAGGCCTATTAATCATACGAAATATGTATTTTGAAGGAAATTTATCCGAGAAATAGATTTTATAAAAGTAAAATCTGTAGATTATAAAATAATCTTACATATTATATAGCCACTATTTGGCAATAATGAAATTCAAATAAGCCTAGTTTATAATAGGATTATAAATCTATTTTTATCAAAAAATTTTAAAGCTTTAGTTTTCAGATTATTCATTCATCTGTTGTAAGCCATAATTTAATGAAAGTATGCATTTATAGGTTAATATTATTTTAATTTAACTAATTTCAGTAAAAAAAAAAATAAAGTTAACCCATTTAGTTAATTCTATTGATATAATCAAAGCAAAATTAATTTTTAAGAAAAAAATATTGATTCAAGCATTCATAATAAGAAATAAATTTAAATTTTCTTCTATTATCTCATTATTTATCTAAAAATATTAATTTAATCTTTGAAATAACTAATCAACAGAAAGTATTTTTATTTATTTTAATTATATTTAATTTATTTAAAATAATTGACGATTAAATTCGATTTAATAGTTAAATACTGTACAGTACTTTACATAGGATTAGATAGATATAACTTATTTAAAAGGTGGCGAGTTCAAATTTATAAAGATTTGATTGTTATTCGGTTATACTACCTTGTTTATATCATTAAATAACATAAATTTACAAAGCCCAAGAAGGTAACTCTTAAAATTAAAACAGAATAACAACATTTTAATTTAAATATAATAATAATAAAAAAAATTAGAAACTGCTTAATAATTTAAGTAATTATCATCTTATATCCAATACAACAACCGCACAAGTCTCTGACATTACTTACAATTAAGTCTATTGGATTTAGAATTAGTCTAAAATTAATTTTTACGTTATATTTTAATCGAAATTTATTTATTTTTTTAAAAACTATTTTCATAATATGTCGTTTCTATTAATGTTAATTCGGTAGGGAAAGAATAAAAGTAGAAATTAAAGAAAGTATAGCAAAAGGAATTAATTGAATAAGTGGATAAACATAGCAATTACTTTATCAGTTATATCCAACGGAAATATTTAAAATGTTGGATAAACGAAGTCGTTTCTAACGAAAGACAAAGAATAATCTTCAGACTTAGCTTCATTGATTAAGGGGGAGTGTCTCTTGCACTTATTTCATACTATTGGTTAGAGTATTTATAGCGTCAGCCAATCAACCACTCGAAAACGACGCGATCGAGTTTGCGCAGAAAGCGATAGGCGGATCTATTCTTATCATCAAGAGGCCGAGTCGGCATTGCGTAGTGTTTTGTATGGTAGTTGGAACGACGATCGAAATTGTCCTAAATTTAATATCACATGTCTAAAATACGAATTAAGTAAAATTCAAGATATTGTGAACTTTTTCAACTTACCTATAAGTTAAGAAGGAAGATTTTAAGTCGTTTTGTAGAAGAGAAATTTTTACTTCGCGCAAGCGTGGCAGCTTCTCGCTCGATGCGAATCTTAACTCTGTACAGGATAGCATCGACGAATAAGACACGCCCATCGGATTCCGAGAAACATCCAATGGGACGTCGTTCTTGTTCTTCGTCAGCGTATGGGCGTAGTCCCGTTGTGTAAAGTGCCTGCAGACAAAAGTTAAAGGCCTGAGGGGTCAGTATGCTCCGTACCACTACTTGGAGTCGGCACTGTCAGATAGGGCTAAGCTACTTGACACTTGTCACTGTGGAAATTGGCTCCCTTTGTTAGCTTAGTTGGCCAGACTTTTCTTGTCAGCAGTTTTATCGTAAAACGGAAGAAGGGAGAAGAACAGTGTCGAGTCGAATCGGACAAAAGTTTTGTCGACTTTCATGATTCGTATTCCGAACGATCTGACATTTTTATCGAGAAAGCTGCGAGAATTAACAATACCGGAAGTGTGGCATGAAGTTCAATATCTAGTTTAACAATCGAATCGGTAAGATTAAGTGCATTTTTTTCGAATCATTTCGTCTACTAATGGTTTCCGTCATGAACCTCTTGCATGGTGACTGCCCTACAACATTGAGTCATTCTCAATTGACTCAACCTAGCACTAGTACAAACAGTGGACAGGGGGTGGCTCAACGATCACCTTTTGCCATCCAGGAATTGCTCGGACTTAGTAACCATAGCGATAGCCCACCGGCTGCAGCGGTACCTTCTCATAGGCCCACAACTGTTACTTCGACGGTCGGAATGGCCGTCGGTCTGGCGGGTCCTCCGACAGGTGCTGCACCACAACCTTGCACACCTTATCAACCTAGACCCATCGTAACTCAACCGACGGCTAGCCAATGTTTTCCCGATCCCGGTCGTATGTATTTTGGAACGGCAGCGGCTGCTTTCATGCCTAACATGTCCGTCCCAGCAGCCATGTCGAGTGTCACAGGTATGACAGGTATCACACCGTCCATGTCGACCATGCCCATGTTAGGGTTCGAACAACCGACGTCGGCTCCAAGACAAGATGCGACAGGTAAGTCTACAATTCATTCGTTTTCCTCGTTTTAACGTCCGGTTTTATCATTTTAAAATGATGCAAAATAACGCCAACCCATCCGTGTGCAAACTAGCTCTTAAAATCCTTACTTTATCAAATTAAAAACAAAGATACAGCATCGAAATTACTCACGTTCAATGAATCGAATGCCCTGAAATAACACCGAGTTCATAAATTACAATTATAAATGCTCAAAATTTCTATTTTATTAATCCTCGAAACGAAGAAAGGACGTGAAAACTACCCTCGTCAAATATAACATGCCATCATTTTACATGATTTATTAAACAGTAAACAATATAATTTAATGTTTTTAAATCCATTTTCGGTTTTATCCTCGAAAATACCTCAAAATTTCTTTATTTGGAGTGAAAAATAATTAAAAATAAAACGTTTATTTTTATTTTATAGATCATAAATTCATCCTGTACTTTACTGTACGTCATTAAAAAAAATCTATCATCCGTTTCTTTCGGCTTATTTTTATTATTAAATCGGGATGAGAATAGAATTAACGATAAAGAAAATAAATTATAAGCATAATTAACTTAAAATTAAACAGAAAATACACACTTATATAAGAATATTGACACGAAACGAGTTTTGCAACATTGCCAATCTTGATGAAGCTACTCGGGCTGTATTTGTGAAAATGATTTATGAAGTCCCCAAGATGCAGTTAACTTGCATGAAAAATTGCCGTCAACAATTTATTTAAAACTCCACAATGTAGAATTAACTAAATATACCTTTTATTTAAATCATATATATATATATATTTTCAATTTATAACTTAATTTCTATAATTTAATCAATCAATTAGTTACCATAACCTGTTAGTTCTGTCATGAAAGCCTACAATAACTTATTATAACCAGGCCTATAAGTATATAAACGTAATTCAAGAAAGAATTAATTCAATTTATACATATTTAACTTTATAAATATATATTTAAGTATAAAATTTTTATTATTTTTTTTTTACTTTTTTCCAAAAAAAAACATATTTTGTATTGTCTTAAATGAATTTAGGATTGCTTCATTTAATTATGGAAAAATTAATATAATTTCTGGTATATTTATATTATTTTCTTCTTTATGGGAAAGATAATTTTGTGTAGCCCACTTAAATGACCTTGAAAGATTTTTTTTTTTTGGTAAGATGGGAAAGAAGAAATCCGATCTGTGAAGTGACAAAACACGTCTGGCTGGAATACATTTTGCTTGTTTTTTTAGATTATTTATCGTCCTAAAGACTTAAATTTTATTGGAAAATCTCCGTGTAAACTTTTATATTTTAATATCATAAATTATTCCTTAAAATTTTAGGAAAAAATGGAGGATTTTTGAAGGCAAAATTGTTATATTTAACATCTTCAATTTAAACTAATAATAATAATGATTAATCTTAACGAAATTTCGGTATAATTTTTCTTTATAAATTAATTAATACAATGTATATATAATTTATTAAAATTTATAAAAAATTTTTAATAAATATAATATTTAATTGTCTTGAATTATTTTTTTTTCGTATAAAATACTAAATCTTTCATAATTTTAATCGCTTACAAGTAATGATTTTTTTTTATGTTTTGTTAAAAATACAATTAAAATAAGTTTTAAAAATATAAATTAAAGTAATATTTAAGTGGTTAAAGAATTAAAATGTATTTAATTAACAATAAAATAAATCATTAGTTTAAATAAAGAAATTAAAAAGTGTCATTCAAATAGGGAATTTATAATTATTTTCCGATTGAAATAATAAGGAAATTATACAGAAAATTAAATAATAAATTTAATAATTAATCAAAATATATATTTATTAAATTAATTTTCCTTTTATTATTGTATTTATCTCGTAGTATATCTTTTAATGGTCGTATTAAACATGGAAGAGAACAAAGAAACTCGAAGTTTGAACCTCTTTATAAGTTAAAATTTTGAAATTTTCCATTTAAATTAATTTTATTTAAGTATTTTATAATGTTTTAAATTCGTTTATAGCATCCATTTTTTTGATAATAAACCGTGTAGTCGTATAAACAACCCTCCTATGGACAGATGTTATATGGGAGATTGCCAAGTTAAAAAGTTTGTTAAACACTTCTTTATTGTGGTATAGGTTAGTAGGGTTTGTATTTTTACTAGCCTAAGTAAATTGTAGATGAAGTAGGTCTATCAAACAAAAAACATTACTCGAAAGTTAAATAATCTATACCTATAGGCCTAATGAATGTTATAGTCAATAAGTATATATGCCTAGGTAATACGAATAATGAATAAAGTATTACATTATTTTAGATTTTTTATTAAATATTTTACAGATTTTTATTAAAATATTTTGGATCCAGTTTTATAAAAGTCTAAACCTTCATTAAGTAATATAATCTAGATTCATTTATAGAAAAAGTCGACCCCCCTATAACACTGTTTATAATTCCGTTTTATATGAATTCCATGTTGTACGAGTCACTTAGATTTTACAAATACGTGAGCCGTTCACTGCCTGGCACACATATTTGTAAATTCTAAGTGACTCGTACAACATGGAATTCATATAAAACGGAAAAATCAACAGTGTTATAGGGGGGTTGACTGGTATTTATTAAGTATTGTAGATAAGTGAATTTTCTTGTTTACCATTGCAAGATTCTCTAAATTTAATAAAATAATTTATATATATATATATACACATATACTGTAGGTGTTAACAACCTACGACAAAATCAAATGAATAGATTGACGTGTAGGCTGTTTTCTAACTTCGTTAATCCTACATTTTTGCCTATTTTTCAAGAAGAAATCTAATTTAAAAAATGAAGAATTATCTATAATTTAAAAATACACAAACGAAAATATAAAAAATTAACGTAAAATATAATTAAAATCTTATTTTTAACTCGTATCTTTTCTATAGATTTTAAACATCTTCCTTATCTTTTCTAGTTTTTCGATCCTTCAAATTACTCAAGATCTATAAATTTCACTTATTTTTAGATAGTTTAGGGTATTATTTTTTTAATTATTTCAACTTTTAGGGTGTAAAAAATAAGTAGAAATACCCCAGTATCTTTTTTTTTTTTACACCCTAAAAAGTATACTGGGTATTACCCCAGTATCTTTCTACTTAAGAAATTTATAAATATTTTTTCGGGTGTAAATTATTATTATTATTATTTTTTTAATCCTTCCACTAAAAATTATTAAAGAAAGTAATAAAAATTAAAAAAAAAGGGTGGCTTCAAACATAAATTAATTTTTTCTATAAACAAAAGAAAAATAATGAAAACCTTCAAACAAAGTCATAGTGGAAGGGGATAAATGAGTTTTTTTTTTGAGCTACGAACAGACTCTTTTGTATTGAATAACACGCAGTTAAAAGGAAATTTTTGCAAAAATATATAATCTTGTTCTCTTTTCTGTTTAAAAAGTCTCTTTTGATGACGAGCAAAATTCAAAAATTTCGTTTCTGACACTTCTTTTTTTTATTACTTTTTTTTTTGTTCCCCTTCTTATCTATCTTTTATTATTATTATTATTTTTATTATATATTTATTTTTTTACGTTTCGTCCATTTGGAAAATAAACGGGATTTTCAAAAAATTATTACGTATTTAGCTGCGGAACGACTTAAAAAAAAAAAAAAAAGAAAGAAAGAAAGAAAAGAAAATCAGTAAGAACGAAGCAATTCCATTTATAGGCCAACGTGTTTATGCCAAAGTTCTAGATGTAACCTATGGAAATTGTGGAAATCCTTAATACATAAGATTAGGAGAGGGAGAGAGAAGACGTAGAAAAGTGCAAATAATTTGTGAAAATTCTGTTCTTTCGGCAACACGTCTTCACTTAAGTCAAATCAGATTGTAAAAATTCGTGAAAAACATTTTTTTCCTAACGTCTAAAGTCAGGTAGTGTTAAAAAATTGAAGAATGGAAGGCCAATAATGGTGAGAGAGAGAGATTTCAAACGAATTTCTCGTGTTTTTTTATGGTTAATATTTTATATTAAATCTTAAAATACTTTAATAATAATTAAAAAAAATTGAATGTTTGATTTTTAAAGAAAAATTCAGTCATTTTATCGATTTAATCGAAGCGATACTCCCGCTTCTTTGTACAACGTTTCTTGATGTTTTCGAAATAATTACTCGAATATTATGATGATTAATTACCATTAATCATATTTAAGTTGCTCTAGAATGTTTGGAATTATGCAGAAATGTTTAAATTTCTCATTGCCTAACGAGTTATTTAATTCTAAACGAAGTTTCGCCTTACATCGTGGTTTAAAAGTAACCTTTCTTTATTCTGTTTTTTATTAATCGAAGGACTTAATTTACTGTTTATAAACTATATTTATAGACCGTAGATAAGTTTAATTATATTTATATTCGATTTTGAATTAAATTTCGTTAGATTTAAGTTCCTTAATTACGATACCAAAGTCGACAGTCGCGTTTAATATCTCTATATATTTTATATACTTATCATACTCAATTCGTATTATGTATACAAGTTTAGAAATGTCTTGGTGCGTAAAATCAACATCTTTTCTTTATATATATCTTAAGGGCAAGAAGACAGTAGGAAAAGGAGATATATCTGCGTTGCCTTGGTGATGTAGTCATGTGACTAAGGCGTCCACTTCAACGTTCCTGCCTCTCTGATAATAAGCCTGATCTTGAGAGCTTTGCTGAATGGAGGAGTAATGCTGACATCTCCTGATTTTCGTTGCGCATTGATGCTTAACATATATAAATATATATGCAGACGTAACGCTAATTGGTTACTCTCTATTCGTTAAACTATCTAAAAATACAGGTCATCACTATCCTTATTCTTATTTATAAATGAGCATCCCTACTATCTTTTAGGCTTTTAACTGCTTCCAATAGAAGACTTCTAAATGCATTTATATATAAGAAATAATTTTGTTTATACTATAAAATTCGGTAAAATAATGATAGGTTT